GCACGCGGCCCACCGGGAACTGCAGGCCGGCCCGCGACGAGCGCGTCTTGGCCTTGGCGCGGGCCTTGCCGCCTTGCTTGCCGCGTCCGGACATGGCGAGTGGTATCTGAGAGCAAAGACCCACAGGAAGAGAGGAAAGAAGTGTCCTGCAAGCAGCAAAAAGATGCCAGTTATAGTGCCGGACGGAAGTGGAAAACTCGAGTTGGGATTGGTTAAGGTCATCGTTCGGCAATGCAACCAATAAGAAAGGAGATATGACGCACTCAAATTTACATATTCTCCGTCACTAATTCATTATCAAATCAGATTCGGATATTCTTGCATGCCTTATTTGCATAGATGGCCTATAAAAGAGGAGACTCTGGATGTAGGCGGACATCTTCGTACTTTTATTTGCTTTGTCAATCCAGTTGTTGGTAGTCAGGATGCCCGAGCCCGCCAAGTCGGCTCCGGCCCCGAAGAAGGGCTCCAAGAAGGCGGTGACCAAGGCGCAGAAGAAGGACGGCAAGAAGCGCAAGCGCAGCCGCAAGGAGAGCTACTCGGTGTACGTGTACAAGGTGCTGAAGCAGGTGCACCCCGACACGGGCATCTCGTCCAAGGCCATGGGCATCATGAACTCGTTCGTCAACGACATCTTCGAGCGCATCGCGGGCGAGGCGTCCCGCCTGGCGCATTACAACAAGCGCTCGACCATCACGTCGCGGGAGATCCAGACGGCCGTGCGCCTGCTGCTGCCCGGGGAGCTGGCCAAGCACGCCGTGTCCGAGGGCACCAAGGCCGTCACCAAGTACACCAGCTCCAAGTGAGCTTGCCAAGTAAGCCCCTTGTGATCCCAACCCCAAAGGCTCTTTTCAGAGCCACCTACATTTTCATCCAAAGAGTTGTAACGTTAAGTATACTTTTGACATTCAATTTGTTTGGAGACTGTCTTTCTATAGGAGAAACCGATGCCCGTGCGCGTAGTAAAAGCATGTACGTCTTTTTCTGCTTCAAAACTTCTAGTCTCTATTGTCCAAGTTACAGGGCCTGGAACTTTGCCTACATTCAATTTCCATTTCAGTCTACAGAATGCTGTGGAAGCTGGAGAGCAGTTAGAAGGTGCTCCTGTCCTCACCCTACCCCTAGGTCTTGTACCCTGCCAGTAGCAATTAGTTCCACCACCCTCTGATTTCTACACTCCCAGAAGTGTTAACATTCCTGTCCCCCCTAAGTTGTCAGCCTGAATTCCACCTGGCCTCTTTTCCAAATTTACAGGTTGTATTAACTTTTTCTTTCTTTTGTGCCCCAAGCCCCTACTTTTGCCTTCAGTTGTCTCTGGGATACCTCAGTTTTGGCTTTTAAGTATTTGAAAACCTGGGTAGCTTTTAATTAAATTATATTTGTAAAAATCAATACTTTTCCATTTTCCTGAGAGATGCATGGCTCCAAGCCTCCATTGATTTAAATAAGGGCCATGACTACTTTACATTTGAAAGCATTTGTTTATTGCATTTCCTCTCTCCATCAGGCACTTTGATAATCATATAAGATATTTCCTTTGCTTTCAAGGGACTAACAGTCTCAAGTTTACCACCATCAGTTCTCCCAGGCAGGGTAAGTATTCCAGGATATAGAAGTGAATTAACTTTGAGGGCAGCGGCAGTCCTATGGGATGTGGGGTTTCCTCTCCTAGCCTAGCCAAGCCTTTCTTCTTGGCTGACTCAGGACCCTTAAGGAAAGCTGAACAAAGAATGCACCAAGAAAAGAGATATGTAGCTCAGTGCTGGAGAAAGGAGATAATCGATGTAAAAATACTAAAGTGTTGACAGATCTACTTGATATGAAGTGTCTTTGAATTCTATCCAGACACCTTTGAAAGAAGACTTTGGTGCGAAGTTTCTGCCATGTAAATGAGCTTTGGTTCTCACACCCACTGTGCCTCACTTTATAAAATGAGGCTATTACTAAATAATAAATTATTAAAATAAACTATGGACACTTGTGAAAACAAAATGCAATAATTTATAATAAAAATACACATTTTAGAGGAGTTTACAATTCAGAAGGTTTTTATGAACAGTATGAGGTGAAATTTTCCATTTCTCCTCTACTTCATATGTAATAAATGCAAGCTTTTTGAAGTAGAATTATAATCAGAAGTAATAATACTACAATGAGTGGAGCAAGTGTTACTCCATGAAATTAGAGTTGCTGCTCTTAAATCCAGACATCCTAAACACCAGGGAAAAAGGAAGTGTAAAATGCTGCTCTCAAAATCCGAGAAACTTCAACATTACGGGAGCCTGCAATATTTAGGAAGAATTTACATGCATCTATAATAATTCTGATAATAAGTATACATTTAAATTTACATATATGTGTAGTTGTAATCTTAAAGAACCTCAGTGAATACAGAATCCATAATTCTTAAGCTATGGGGGTGTATTAATTTCCTTACTTGCTGGTCTGACAGGTTATCACAAATTTAGCGGCTTATATCAGTACAAATTTATAATTTCCTAATTCTGTAGATCAGCATTTAGGCATGGATCTCACTGAGCTAAAATCAAGGTGTCAGGAATTCTGCATTCTTCTCTGGGGTCTATCAAAAGAAATCTGTTTGCCTGCCCTTTCTAGCTCCTATCGGCTATCCTCTTTCCTTGCCTCAGGGCCCCTTTTCTCAGTTTTCAAGGCCAGCCATCTCTGGCCAAGTCCTCGGGCTGTTATCTTTCTGGTTCTGTACTCAGGTTCCCTCATCCAATTTTAAGTATCCATGTGATTATACTGGGTTCACTTGGATAATCCAGGATAATCTCCCTTTTAAAAAATCAGGTGATTTGCAATCTTACTGCCATCTGCAACATTAATTGCCCTCTGTCATGGAACCTAACATATTCACAGACCCGTAGAGGTTAGGAGTTAAAGATAATGGCGATGGCATTTTTCTGCCTGGCACGGTAGGTCCCAGTGTTTTTAGAATTTGATAGAAAGCTATATACTTTCTGTTCTACAAGCGGGAAGAATATATGGATGCACTACAATAGATACTTTCAGGGTGTTCTTGTACTCTGGGGAAGGTCATATATATCTTGTTTAGATATTTGTTTACTTCTGGGAATACATAAAGCAAAAACTGACTATAACAATAGAAGCTCTCATATACAGCTTCCTGGTATTGTTAGATTTCATTCTTTTACATTTCTTTCCTTGTTGCTTTTGTTTTGTTTGAAAATGTATATGTTCTTTGTGTATGTTGTTTTGTGTGTGTGTGTGCGTGCATTTGTGTTGTGTGGGGAGTAGAAAGTTTGTTGTTCATGGAAGAAATTATACAAGAATATAAAATAGTTTTACTTTTTTGCTACCTGGGTTGAACCCCTAAAAATATTTTGTATGTGCATCCTTAGCATTTAATTCACATGGGATACCGTTCATGGCAGGTTATAACTTTAAGTACATTTCTAATTACAAGGAGAAAAGTGTAAATTCCCATTACCATTATTATATATGTCTGCATATGCTAGGGCAGTGGTCGTGTTACTAGAATGACATATGAAATTTTTTTTTTAAGATTTTATTTATTTATTTATTTGTCAGAGAGAGAGAGCACAAGCAGGGCGAAGGGCAGAGGGAGAAGCGGACTCCCCGCTGAGCGGGGAGCCCAATGTGGGGCTCGATCCCAGGACCCTGGGATTATGACCTGAGCCAAAGGCAGACGCTTAACCAACTGAGCTACCCAGGTGGCCCCATATGAATTTTTTTTTAATTTAAAAATAATTTTTGTTGACCAGGACAGAAATAAGCTGATATAAAATCCACCCTGGAGGAAAATACTAATTTTAAGGGAGAGGCACCAAAATATCCCTAAAAGGAGTTTCTTTCTTGGACTGCCAGCATCATTACTGTAATGTGGAATGTTGCCAGTGGTCTCACGTTTCATTAAACAAGTCTTGGGAAAATTCTCATTACAATTAAATGACCCCATCTTGGAGTCAGTGATGTTTGTTTTTCAATTTTCATGCATTGGCTTGTTCCCACTACTATTTACAAATTATATTGCCTTAAGCAAATAAATCCATTAAAAGTGTACAAAGATTAATCTGGAAAAAAACCAGTTTCTTTTTACCACAATATACCACTAACAAAAATAGCACTAACAAATTTCTTAAGCCCTCTTGGCTTTTCATAGAACCAATGTGTAAAGGACACTACATCCCGGCAGCTTCAGTGAAACATTTTTTGTCACCACTTGGGCCAGGCTTGTGGTTAAAATGGACAGTAGAAACAAGAGAAATCTATCCCACCGTTACCCACACTCGTACCTTTCTCTTTCCACCAGTGAAAAGGTATGTGTATTTTAGGTGCTAGTCCCCCACACCAGCAAGCCGAACATTTTCAGCAAAGTAAAGCAGAACCTCTTCAGCAGTTACATTAACTATCAAAGCCGTTACAACTCACGCTGAAAAACTGGCTGGCTCTTAAGCGTCCTTGGGGTTAAATCTGAAGACATTTTGTCAGGATTATCTGGAGCTCCAGCTCCCAGGGCAGCTGCAGGCGCACGGCCGTCTGGATCTCCCGCGACGTGATGGTCGAGCGCTTGTTGTAATGCGCCAGGCGGGACGCCTCGCCCGCGATGCGCTCGAAGATGTCGTTGACGAACGAGTTCATGATGCCCATGGCCTTGGACGAGATGCCCGTGTCGGGGTGCACCTGCTTCAGCACCTTGTACACGTACACCGAGTAGCTCTCCTTGCGGCTGCGCTTGCGCTTCTTGCCATCCTTCTGCGCCTTGGTCACCGCCTTCTTGGAGCCCTTCTTCGGGGATAGGATCAGACTTCCGTGACTCTGGCATGATGAACAAAAACTATGATTCTGGGATAAGAAATATGTGCCCTGGTTACAACCCTCATAATATTTAATGGCTCCTATACGAATGAAGTGCTAAAAGAGCTAGACTTTGATTGAATAAATAAATGCGAACTGCAACATAGTATGGATATTACGTGTGTTTAATTCTGTTTTGTAATTGGTTGCAAACTTAAAAATTGTTTTAGCCAATCAAACCGCGTAATTTACAATTCGGCTTGTAAGTATAATTGCTTCTCATTTGCTGAAAGGATTAGTACTCCCATTTCTTTTTCCGTTACGGAGCATCCTGGTTAGAGAGTATTAAGATGTCTGGACGCGGCAAGCAAGGCGGCAAGGCCCGCGCCAAGGCCAAGACGCGCTCGTCGCGGGCCGGCCTGCAGTTCCCGGTGGGCCGCGTGCACCGCCTGCTCCGCAAGGGCAACTACTCGGAGCGGGTCGGCGCCGGCGCGCCCGTGTACCTGGCGGCCGTGCTGGAGTACCTGACGGCCGAGATCCTGGAGCTGGCGGGCAACGCGGCGCGCGACAACAAGAAGACGCGCATCATCCCGCGCCACCTGCAGCTGGCCATCCGCAACGACGAGGAGCTCAACAAGCTGCTGGGCCGCGTCACCATCGCGCAGGGCGGCGTCCTGCCCAACATCCAGGCCGTGCTGCTGCCCAAGAAGACCGAGAGCCACCACAAGGCCAAGGGCAAGTAAGGTGGAAAAATACAATCTTAATTCATTGAGGGGTCCATTTTAACCAAAGGCTCTTTTCAGAGCCACCCCCGTACTCATTGAAAGGGCTTACATTTTCTTTATTAATTGTAGCTAATTGAAAATGCCCTGCAGGGTAGTTCATCAATCCATAAATACATGTCAATACTTCAAATCCTCAGAAAGGTGAAACTAATCATTCAGTTTAGAGTTACCCTAAAAATAAGACTTGCCATCTGTAGATGAAAACGGTATGGAGAAGTTGAGTCCCATGTTAAAGTATATCAATACCAGAGTCCCTCAGTATTGTAAACCATCTGTAAGATAGTGGGAAGGGTAATGCTTGGTTTCTGTTGAAAGTTTAGATCCAAATCTAGTGATCTACAGATCAATAAAACTATACCTTTATTAATGTATCCTATTGAAGGCAGTTTTCCACCTTAGTGGACAAAATCATCTGCAAATCATACTTTAAAAAAATAAACCAATATCCAACTTTACTGGCCTGTGCCTAATCAGTTAGAAACTGGAATACAAAACTATATGCTCTGGAATTTGTTGTCCTTTATACAGAACTTCCTAACTCAGGGTTCAGTATGACTTTAAAAAGATACTCAGTGATCTTTTTGTACATTTACAACTCTGGGTATCTTTTAACACCTTTTTACACAAACTTTGGTTAGTGTAGAGTAAGTATGTGTTTAATGAAATTATAGTAATAAGTGTGAAATTAACTCAGGGGTTATGGTCCATTTAGGAATTGTATAAGAATATAATAAAAAATCCAACTTTGAATAGAGACATCAAGAAATAGACCTGAAACTATTCTTCCTACACTCCAACCAGGGTAAAAAAGTACTTGGCCAATCACATGTAGAGGGTGTCTTTTCAAAAAAGATCTAAAGAAAGCCAGTTTCATGGGCCAAACCTTACATTTTTATTGAGCCCACAAGGTATATCATTGCAACAATTGGTATTAAGTTCTGCTTTCAAAAGCCAAAGAACATTGTAAAGAAACAGATGAGGTAGACAAGAGATAGATCACTGTAAATAAGGTAGAGGAGAGAAAGTTGAAAACACCAGCAGTTAAACTAGTGGATTGGAGGAAGATGTTAATTTTTTTTTTCATGGAAGACATTAATTTTTGTTCCAAATGTACTGGAGTTCATGTGATTCAGGGAGTGAAATGTCACTACCAATATCTTCACTTGGAGCCCTAGGAAGCAAATGTCTGTCCAATCAGAATGGGACTCTCTTCATATACAATAGTGTGGAGTGTGGTAGGGTTTCATTTTTCCCTCAGCTACCTGTTTTGGTTAATTTTGGGATGGCTTGCACGATGGCCGCAAGTCTACCGGGCCGCACGCAAGTAGCTGGCCCTGCGCAAGTCGACCCGCGGCAAGGCCCCGCGCAAGCAGCTGGTCACCAAGGCGGCCCGCAGGACTTCAAGACCGACCTGCGCTTCCAGAGCTCAGCCTGCGAGGCCTACCTGGTGGGGCTCTTCGAGGACACCAACCTGTGCGCCATCCATGCCAAGCGCGTCACCATCATGCCCAAGGACATCCAGCTGGCGCGCTGCATTCGCAGGGAGAGGGCGTAAATTCTTTTAAGCCAGTGACCAGAGCCTTTGAACCTTATGCTCAAAGGCTCTTTTCAGAGCCAACGACCGTTTCTATGAAAGATTGCTGTGTACTTGTTTTAGGTTTTGTAAATTGTGAAAGATACTGGAAAAACCAAGTCCTACCAAGTTCTTTCATAAGGTTAATTGTGTGGCTCTGAAAAGAGCCATTAAAGTTTTCTCAACTAACTAAATTCTTACTTCTTGGCGGCCACCTTCTTGGGCTTGGCCACTTTAGGCTTGGCTGCCTTGGGCTTCGGGGCTTTGGCCTTGGCTGGACTCCTGGCGGCCTTCTTGGGCTTGGCAGCCTTCGCCTTCTTCGGACTCTTGGCCACTTTCTTGGCGACAGCCGCCGCCGCGGGCTTCTTGGCCTTCTTGGGGGTCTTCTTGGCGCTCTTCTTGGGGGTGCTCGCCCCC